AGTCTATAGTACAGGCACGGTCCTGCTTGCAAAGGGTTGACGATCTATTGGAGGAAGACAAAAGTAATCTACATAAATTACTTTGAAGATAAACACATGCGAACTGCGTACTCATAATCTCCTCCCTCCAGCAAGTGTGCACCTGAATACTGTGGGTCGTCTGCGATGTCTGTAGGTGGATAAAGATAAATGTGGGAAAATCACCAGAACTGGAAGAATAGGGAACGGGCAGTGGTGGAAATTCTTGGTTGAAACGTGGTCAGGAGATTGGCAAACCCACGCTATTTTATAAAGAAAACTAGGATCTAAAATTGAGGGTGGAGTTAGCCTATCCTGAGATAAAACAAGGACATCCAAAGGTACCATAATGCATCCAGACCATTGCAGAGATTAAATACTGACCGCGCAATATCTGACCCAATTTGCAACCTCAGTTGGAATTCTGGATTTTACCATGAACTTTTATAAATATTCAAGGAATTTTTGGAAAAAATAGTTGCACAGATCATTAAAATATATGAATATAAACTATACCCAATGATAAAGCCTAGCAAATATTGGAGGTGAATCTCCTAGAAAGTAGGACAATGATTATTTGTATCCACTTTTCCCATTTGTGTATATTCTAATATTTTAAAAAACCTCTGGGGAATTTAGTAAGTAATTGTTAATGCATACGAAATTCAATGGATATTTTATAGTTCTCTTCCCACCTGCTCTGCCAGCATCATTCTGCACAGTATCTTAAAAACCTTCTTCCCCTGGCTTCTGAAGTACTAGGCTCCCTGGTGTTCTCCCCACCTCTCTGGTTGCTTCTCTTCGCTCTCTACCTGACCTGTACGTCTGAACTCTTGCTCTGGGTTCCCTTCTCTTCTCACTGTAGGTGGATTTCCTGGACCGTCTCATCTACTCAATGGCTTCAGTTATCACGCACATGTCCGCCTGCCTACCTGGCAGGTCATCTACTGATTAACCGTTGCTTGAAATTGTTTACCGTCCCACAGCCACCACTTTGTCCAAACCACCGTCACCTCTTGCTGTCTTCCATATTCCCTTTCATGCCACCAAATTGTGTTCACATGATACAATCAGAACGATCTTTCAAAAATGCAGTTGTCTACGGCAGGGTTAAATTTTCGCAAAAATTGTCCAAAAATGTAACTTGATTTTCCTAAAACTAGGCTTAATTCCTGCCTCTTAATGCTCACTTCTATTTTCTAGCATTACATTATTTTTAGTGAATCCTAGTTAAACTCATGTGCTTTCAATTCTCTTAGTGTCTTCTGAGTGAACGTAGTCATTTTGGGTTTGCGCTCCTCTTCTTTTTCTCTCTGGGCCACATCTAAGTTGGGGTTGGGGGTGGGAGACTTTTGCAGCTTCATGGCATTCATGGAGACAGGCCATCTGCTCAGTAGCTATTGTTGGCTTTTCACCAGCACCTGCAGAGAGAAACTGTACTGCCTAGTCTCTGGTCACTGGCATCCAGTACATCTCCCAATGTCCTCCCTTACTCCTTGGTTCTAGGTTGTCAGGTCTACCCAGACCCCTCTGTGTCTTCAGGCCACTTGAGACCCTCTCTCAGGCACTTTCTCTGCTACTCTCAGGGATGTGGGACAATTCAGATATTTGCCAATTTAACCTTAAACAAGTGTTGTAGAAAATATAACTTCTCTACATGTGCATAGAACAAAAGAGTTCTTCTAAACCTGAAGAATTAAAGAAATGTCACTGAATTATAATCCTCTCCTTATAAGCTAAGAATTGGTTTCTCATCTTCTTAGGTTCACTAAAAAAATGGCAGATTGAGGAATAAAGTGAAGCAATTTGACTTTCTAGTAAAATTCTGCTGCTTTTAGTTCTATTCAAAATCCTTGAAAAAGAAGAATAGAGTTGGAGGCATCACAATTCGTGATTTCAAGATATATTACAAAGTCAGAAAAATCAAAACAGTATGGTACCGGCATAAAAACAGACACATAGACCAATGGAACAGAATAGAGAGCCCAGAAATAAACCCAAGCATATATGGTCAACTAATTTTGACAAGGGCACCAGAAAACACAATAAAGAAAGGATAGTTTCTTCAATAAATGGTGCTAGGCATGAAAAAGAATGAAATTGGACTGTTATTTCACACCATACACAAAAACGAACGCAAAATAGATTAAAGACTTAAGCATAAGACCTGAAATCATAAAAATCCTAGAAGAAAACATGGGGGAAAAGCTCCTTGACAATGACCTTGGAATGATTTTTTGGATATGACACCAAAAGCTCAGGCAACAAAAACAAAAATCAGCAAATGGGACTACCTCAAACTAAAAAGTTTCTGCACAGCAAAGGAAACCATCAACAGAATAAAAAGGCAACCTATGGAATTGGAGAATATATTTGCAAACCATATATCAGATCCAAAATATATAAGGAACTCATACAACTCAACATCAAAAAACCAAGCAACTTGATTAAAAAATTGGCAAACGACCTGAATTGATATTTTTTCAAAAAAGACATACAAATGGCCAACAATATAGGAAAGTGCTCAATATCACTAATCATCAGGGAAATGCAAATGAAAATCACCATGAGATATCACCTCATATCTGTTAGGATGTCTATGAGCAAAAAGCAAGGGAAACAAATGCTGGCCAGGATGTGGAAAAAAGGGAACCTTGTGCAGTGTTGGTGGGAACGTACATTGGTACAGCCACTATGGAAAAGAATATGGAGGTTCTTGAAAAAACTACATATATAACTACCACATGGTCCAGCAATCCTACTCTGGGTATATATCCAAAGGAAATGAAATTAATACCTTAAAAGGATGTCTGTGCTTCCCTGTTCATTGTAGCATTAGTCACAACAGCAAAGATATGGAAACAACCTAAGTGCCCATTAACAGATGGATGGATAAAGAATAAGAAAACATATATATATATATATATATATATATATATATAAAATATAATATAAATAGTGGCATATTATTCAGCCATGAGAAAGAAGGAAATCCTACTATTTGTGACAACATAGATGAACCCGGATGACACTATGCTAAGTGAAATAAGCCAGACACAGAAAGAAAAAGTCTGCATGATCTCACCTATACATAGGTCTAAAAATGTCTAACACACAGAAGCAGAGAGTAGAATGGTGATTACCAGCGGTGAGGAAATGTGGAGACATTGGTCAAAGGGTACAAAGTTGCAGTTATGTAGGATGAGTAAGTGTAGAGATCCAACATACAGGATGATGACTACAGTTAATAATAATGTATTGAACACTGGAAATTTGCTAAGAGAGTAGATTTCAGGTGCTCTCATCCCCCACCCTAAAAAGGTAACGATGTGAGAAGATATGTTAATTAGCTTGACTGTAGTAATCATTTCACTGTGTATATGTATTTCAAATCATCAAGTTGTACACTTAAAATATACACAACTTTTATTAAACTCTCACACAACAAGGCCCTGAGATGTTCAAAAGTGCAAGTCATGGGAACACATCAGCAGCCTCCACTCCCTCCCTAGGAAGCTGCCCTGGCCCCCACCTCCCGCTGAGGCCCGGGCTGAGCTGCTTACACAGGAACACCTCCTGGCTTCCCTCGCTTCTCTCTCCCACACCACCAGCACCTCACTGTCCCGCACTCACCAGGGCTACCACACGCACAAGAGAGGGAAGCTGAAGTGCCTGCCTTTCCCCTCTGCTCCTGCCTGTCAGCACGCTGTCTAGACAAGGGTCATTGGTGGCACTCAAACTAACGGGCCTCCGGGCTCTGACTTGTTAAGCTGCTTCTTCACAGCAAGCGGTTCTGGGCCAGGGCCTGAGCACAGCAGAGGGTGGAAAGGACCAAAGAGCCACTTCGTGGGCAGTGATTTTTTTTTTTTAAAGCTTCACCACAATTCTTGACTTGAAAACAATGTGGCAGGATAATTGATTGAAATATTAAGATATTTTCCCTTCTTCCCATATCAGGCAAGTAGCCAGGCTCCTTTTAGTATTTTTCTGCCTAAGGCATTTTGTAGAAGCTGCCGAAGTTAGCACCTCTTCCTGTCTTTGGTAAGAGCCAAACTTATTGCAGAGATGGTCCCAGGGGTCCTGGAGGGGGTGGCGAGAGAGTGGAGGGCCTCTGAGAAAGCGAGGGAAAATAAATATTCTCCCAGACAGAAGTCAGCAGGGCCGTCAGTGGTCACCCCTGGGGAAAGTGATAAGGCTGCAGAGAGGATGGCTACCTGGAGCATGTGTGGACCAGGTGAGACTCCCGACTCACCAGTTTCTGGGTGCCTCCTGCAGATATGGGGGCAGCAGAGCCTCCTGACTTGAAAGGATCATGATGCCAGCCAGGTGATGGATGTCCCAACAGTAACTGTATGGGCAAATGACTAGTGACCACAGGCTCTACCTGATCCTTTGGTGGGTGTATAAGGACCTAGGGCCTTTGCACAGCCCTGGGGAAGGGGAGGCCCAATAATTACTGAGACTGAATTCCCCACCAGCTCCGTGGAATTGGGGCAGAGTGTGATTTAGGTTGATTAGAAGAAAATCTAATAAGGATATTTCCTGTGCATCTGGGTTGGTACATCTGAAAGGAGACTGGCACTTTCCACACTCTTCTCAAGGTGGCAGACATTGACAAAAGGAATAGGTACACTTCACTTGTCTGCTCCCTCTTATCAAACCTGTACACTGTCTTACCAACCCCAACACCATCCCTTCCTATTCCCTTCCGGTGTCATACGCCAAGTTCTAGTTAAAGGATATATTGGGGAAAAAAGAAAAGAGGGGGAGCATGAACTCAGAGAAGGTATGAAGTATGTGGAACATTCTGGAAAAATGTGTATCTGCTTATAAGAAATGAAATGAAATGAAAGTTTTCCCCAAGACAGTTAGAATATAGTCACTATTGCCATAGAATAAAGGTGGGGAACTAATAAACAAATAAAGTAAAGTATCAGGCATTCCCTTTCCTGTTAGGAAGTTCTAACTCTACTGATTTTTACCTGAGAGGCACTGCTGAGAAGAAACTCGTCTATTAAGTGGCTTATGAGGATAGAAACCCAGATAAAGAGGCTTCAGTTGCTGGGACAAAATCATTTCATTCAGTTTTTTCTGCAGAATGAAATACTCTTCAGATAACTTTGATATCTAAAAAGAAGTTCATGTGTCAGATTAAATCAAGGAAAAGACTTCAGAGAGCTCCACAGGTGCACTGGGTCTGAGGAATTCCTGGTCACTGTCCCTTGGACTCTCATGTACTGGACCCGGCTCTGTCCCCACCACTCGGCTGCCTGTCTGCTTCTGTCCTGAGGAACCCCTCTGCCGACTTCCAGTAACCTCCCTCCGTTCCTTTCCAGTCTTCGTAGCCTCACTTCAGGGCTGCTGTCTCCTGCTTCCTCTCGTCCCAGCCGGCCCCTGCGCCTGTCTCGTCTGTTAACATGGCTGTCCCGCTAGGCTGTATGTGGGCTCCTGCTCCTCTGCCTCCAGCTCTGCCCCCTCGAGCCCTGAATCCACTCCCATGGAGTTATTAGCTGGCTCCGGTAGGTGACTTGGTAATTCTACATCTCCTCAATGTCCCGGTTGCATAGCTGGTCAGGGTTCCAGTCCCTGATTTGGTCTTAAGGTGAGCAAATTTACACACCAAGGAAAGGAACAACTGTATGTATATTAAACTCACTATTTTCATGTGCTTAAAAAAAAATAGAACAGGAAGGGGCTAGATAAATGAATAAATGGCAGATCTGCTAACATCTAGAAGTTGGAGATATTTGGGTCATACTTCTAACTCTCAGGGGGTGTCCCAGGGCACTTACTGAGCTTTCTCATGGGCTCAGGGACTCAGGAGTATCAGATGATCCTTCTTTCAACTAACCCATTATGATACGGGTTAGTTCTTCTATTATGTTATATACTATCGTGTATAGTATACAACCTGGTAGTCCATATTAATTTATAATATGTATTTTATAGGTCATCTAGTTAGAATTCTTCACTTTACACAGGAGAAAATAAAGGTGATGACACAAAGTGATCTTAAGGTCAAACACCTAGAGCACAAGAACTGAAATCAGCATTTGTAGGAGCTGCTCCCTGTGACCTCTCCACAGTGTTGATTTATCAGAGTTCCACGTACACCGATGAGAAGCCCTAAAGCTGACCACTCTCTTCTAGAAAGAGCTGAAACACACCTACTAATGGCACGAGATAGTATCCAAGAGGGCCTTTTCTTTGTGGTCCCTCATTGTCATGATGTAACATGAAGACTTTCATCTTCATTGCATGTATGCTTCAGTATGGCTACACATCTAATTTGGATACCTAATTATATGTTCTCAAAATCTGGGGCAGAGAAAGAAAAGACTTTAGTGGATTTAGAAAATCTTTTTTTTTTTTTTTTAGGTATAATGAAAGGCCGCAGATACATGGAAATTTGCATTGTCAAATGCCAGCATTTTAGCAAGCTGTGTAAACCAAGGACTAGTCTCCTTACAACACAAGATTTTGGTCATATTTTGTACTATTTTTATCACAGCAAATTGTTTTTAAAACGTATGGATATTTAAATAGCAGAACCCTTGAGAAATTTTATTTAAAAGGTTTGCATTGTCATAAAAACAGATGAAATATATATCAGTCATCAATTATTTAATTCAGTTATTGTGTAGTTCCCAGAGATTTTTGGTACTAAATAAATTTGTTTATTTACATACCTGTTTTGAAAAAATTGCCAAATCACATGCTCCTTTTTCTGAAATTGCTTTTGAATCCCTGTTATCCGTTGTCTTGATATTACAGGGTTCTTCATGCTTTGGGGAATAGGAATACAAATTGTGAGTATTTCTTGCTACTTCTGTTGGTGTTGCCACCATCTGCTGGTTTTCAAAAGAAGCCATGCTGTCTTTCCTTAATTGCTGCCTTCTCTTGTAACCGCGGTACTTGCTCTGGATGAACACTGCTGCTCTATCTTCCTCCTGAACTTCCATCGTTGCTTCCACTTGCTTCTCATGGACGGCGCCATGCCGCAGATGGCTCCTCTGCTGGCTGCATACTGGTGCATTCTGGGTGACCACAGATGTCTTCTTTTCTTTTTCCCCGCTACTTGCATTTTCATGAACTGACCTTTGGCTAAGACTAGGTCCCAAAGTTTTTTTAAAAGAAGGCTGTTGAGTCTCATTCTCAGCTAACCGAAGTCCTGAGTAGCTTGACCTTTCTGATATGGTCTTCCTTTCTAGATATGCTGCTTTTGAGTCTTCAAAATCCCTTTCCTCAGTATAACTGTGACAGTAAGTCTGGATCACAGCATCCTGCTTCTCCACTGTCCTTACCTTACTGTTCTCTTCCAGGTCTTTGATATACTTCTGTTGGGGGCTTACTTCTCCCTGAGGGCCCTCTACCAGATACAATTCTTGCTTAGCCTCTCCCCCACAGATGTTACTCATTTTTTTCTGAGTTTGATATCCTCTGTTGTTACTTTTGACAGTATTCACGGCTTCCTCCTCAGTTTTGAAAGTGGAAGTCTTCACTACAGATGTACCCCCTTGATTGTTTGGAGCAGGAATGACTGTTTCATTGGTAGATACTGCATTTTCTGCCTGTTTCTTCACAAAAGATTCCCTGTGTAAAACATAATGCATCTGAATATACGATACCAAACTTGAGCTTATTACCTCTTTTGGCAATAGCTACATGCTACATAATGGTGGGAGAAAAGCAAAAGGGACAAAAAAGCTCAAAACAAAAACTTACTGGGGGCCAGCCCAGCGGCACAGCGGTCAAGTTCGCATGTTCCACTTTGGCGGCCTAGAGTTTGCCAGTTCAGATCCTGGGCATGGACCTACGCACTACTTGTCAAGCCATGCTGTGGTAGGTGTCCCATGTGTAAAGTAGAGGAAGATGGGCACAGATGTTAGCTCAGGGCCAGTCTTCTCAGCAAAAAGAGGAGGATTGGCAGTGAATGTTAGCTCAGGGCTAATCTTCCACAAAAAACAAAACAAAACAAAACTTATCAAGTCACATTAATCAAGTGTTTCCCAAAATGGTCTCCAGACAACTGTGATGGCTACCCAAATAACGAGAAAACCAGTTTCAACTTAGAGTGAGAAATATCCTAGCATATTTTCACTTAGTGAGGTGTCAAAATTCTAGGAATTTAATCACTTCAAATATATCCTTTTCAAAACAAGGTACCTATAGTGAGGGGATGTTGTGGAAAATACATCCAGATGTGAAACCAGGAAGCAGGGTGTGCTCACCAGGCGGACGTGCTGTACTTTAATAAGCGCTAAGTCTACTGATCACAGGAAGTATCTTACAAAATTAACGGAAAAGCAGCGTCCCTGCTCAGTTCATGATTATACAATATGCTGGCAGGATGTCACAGTTGTTACTTTACCAATATCCTTAATCCAAAATGATTGCCCCTCAACTTGAAGATAAGATTTTCTTTACACCTCTTTTTTTTAGCCACACTGCTTTTTTTTTTTTTTGTAATGGCAAAACTCTCCCAAGAGCGACAAGGCCATGGCCATGAAAGGGTGTTAAGGCAGAGTCAAAAAGTCATAACTTCACACTCTGACAGGCTACTGTGGAGGCTTTTGCCAAAACCTTTTCATTTTGGCCCAGCAAAGCCATGGTAGAGTTTTGGTCTTACACCATCTGTTTGTAAAGAAGGACTTCTTTTTTTTTTGAGCCAAACTTGGAAAAAGCTACTGGGACTCCATTTTCCTAATTCCATTGGCCAGTTTGTAGGCCTATTATGGCATCCTCAGACTTACACAGGAGGCATGACAGAAGCCCTGTCATTCTGCCAGGGATGGGAAAAGTAGGTAGGGAACCAAGAACCCCATAATTTCGAGGAGTGGCTTTGCTAGTATTTTAAATAACTCTATCATACCCCCAAAGAATGCTAATATTAGTCAAAATACAATTAATGAGAGAAGACAAGCAAACTCAAATAAGAGCTACAGTAATCAAAAGAGTATGGTATTTAGCATAAAAACAGACACATAGATCAATGGAACAGAATAGAGAGCCCATAAATAAACACATGCATTTACGGTCAGTTCATTTACAACAAAGAAGCCAAGAATACACAATGGGGATAGGACAGTGTCTTCAATAAATGGTGCTGGGAAAACGGACAACCACATGCAAAGGAATGAAACTGGACTCCTATCTTACACCATACACTAAAATCAAATCAAAATGGATTAAAGACTTGAATCTAAGATTGGAAACCATAAAACTTCTAGAAGAAGACATAGGTAGTAAGTTCCTTGACATCAGTCTTAGTGGTGACTTTTTGGATCTCACACCAAAGACAAAGGCAACGAGAGCAAAAACAAACAATAAACCACATCAAATGAAAAAGCTTCTGCATAGCAAAGGAAACCATCAACAAAATGAAAAGGCTACCTATGGAATGAGAGAAAATGTTTGCAAATCATATTTCTGATAAGGGGTTAATCTCCAAATTACATAAAGAACTCATACAATTCAACAGCAAAATGACAAATAACCCAATTTAAAAATGGGGAGAGGATCTGAACAGATTTTTCAGAGAAGACATACATATGGCCAACAGGTATATGAAAAAGTGCTCAGCATCACTAAACATCAGGGAAATGCAAATCAAAACCACAACGAGATATCATCTCATACTGTTAGAATGGTTATCATCAAAAAGACAAGAAATAGGGGCTGGCTAGGTGGCGTAGGGGTTAAGTTTGCGCTCTCCGCCTTGGTGGCCCCAGATTCGCCGGTTAGGATCCCAGGGGTGGACCTATGCACCAGTTACCAAGCCATGCTGTGGCAGGCGTCCCAGATATAAAATAGAGGAGGATGGGCACAGATGTTAGCTCAAGGCCAATCTTCCTCCAAAAAAAAAAAAAAAAAAAGATAAGAAATAACAAGCGTTGGCGAGGATGTGGAGAAAAGGGAACCTGTGTGCACTGTTGGTGGGAATGTAAACTGAAGCAGCCACTATGGAAAACAGTATGGAAGTTCCTCAAAAAAATTAAAAAGAGAACTACCACATGATCCAGCAATTCCACTTCTGGGTGTATATCCAAAGGAAACAAAACCATTATCTTGAAGAGATATCTGCATTATTATTGTGAATAATAGATGTTCATCGCAGTATTATTCACAATAGCCAAGGTATGGACATAACCTAAGTGTCTATCAATGGATGAATGGATAAAGAAGATATGGTGTATGTATACAATGGAGTATTAATCAGCCACAAGAAAGAAGGAAATCCTGCCATTGGTGACAACATGGATGGATCTTGAGGGAATTATGCTAAGTGAAATAAACCAGACAAAGACAAACACTGTATGGTATCACTTATATGTGGAATCTGAAAAAAGAAAAAGTCAAACTTATAGAAACAGAGAGTAGAAAAGTGATTGCCAGGGGTGGGGACCTGGAGAAATAGGGAGAGGTAGGGAAAAGGGTACAAACTTTCAGTTATGAGTAAGACCTGAGGATCTAATGTATAACATGATAACTACAGTTGATAACACTGCATGATATGATTGAATTTTGCTAAGAGAATAGATCTTAAATGTTCTCACCAAAAAAAAAAAGATAACTATGTGAGGTGATGGATATGCTAATTAAATAGGTGGGGGGAAGCCTTTCACAAGGTATATGTATATCAAATCATCATGTTGTACACTTTAAATATTTTACAATTTTATATGTCAATTATACCTCAATAAAGCTGAAATTTAAAAAAAGATGAATAAATTCTGGGGATCTAATATACAGCATGGTGAGTATAGTTAACAGTTCTGTATTACATATTTGAAAGTTGCTAAGAGAGCAGATCTTAAATGTTCTCATCACACTCACACACACAATATTTTAATTATTGAGGTGATGGAAATGTTAACTAACCTTGTTGTGGTGATCATTTCACAATATATACAGGTGTCAAATCACCATGTTGCACCCTTAAACTTAAACAACGTAATATATCAGTTAAATATCAATAAATTTGGGGAAAGAAGACAAGAGGCCTGGAGTTGGGGCTGGAATGATCCTCATCTCCCCGGAAAACCACTTATTCATCTTTCGATCAATTCAAGTTTTACCATTTAGGCAAAATCTAGATATCTTTCCCCTCCCCCAGTCTCTACCACCCAAGGCAGAGTTCTCCTCCACGGCCCCACTGCAGCCTTTGCATATTTTTACAGCAGAGTTAACTCACCTTGCTAGAACATGTATTTATTAGTCATATTTCTTTCCAATGACTTTGTGAGCAATTTGAGAATAAGGATTTTGTCTCATTTATCTATTGTGTCCCTACTACTTAGCACAAAGCCTACTGTATAAATGAATTCAGGTGGATCTGCTAAAACGCACTTAGAAATATAGGTATGGAGCCTCAGGAGAAGATAGGACAAAGGTGCTATCCTTTGAAGGATAGATTATGATTTAGGAGCCAATGGCATATAGATTATGAAGGCCATGGGAATGAATAAGAGAGCCCAGGGACATTATTTAGATGTGGAGGAGGATTTAAATACGGGGAGAGGAGGAGGGGGAGAGGAGGAGGAATTAGCAAAGGACACTCAAAATTAGGAGCAGAAATGTACAGAGCAGTCTGGCAGAAGCCCGGGCAGAAAAAACTTTGAGAAGGAAAGTATGGTCATCAGGCCAACGAACTCCCAAAGAGTATAAAGAAAACGGAAGTGGTCACTGAGTGTTGACTGACATCTAAGGCGTCAGTATTAGGAAGCTGGTTAGGTACGAGGAAGACTGAACTTTATTTTGTGATTTTACAGATTTGAAAAATCTATAATGCAAAGTGGTATAAGAATGAACATCATTATACCTTTTATTTTCGAAGTTTTTCTTGTAGTCAAATTCCTGATCATGAGTCTGAATGGTTGTTACTGCTGTGTTTTTTGTGTTAACGATTTTTCTTTGTTTCCTGACTAGATGTCCTCTTGCAGCTGAAAAATACAAGGCCCAGGGTAGTGTTAATCGTGATAAATAAAAGAGCATTACTTTAATGAGTAAAAACAAATGGTTTTTTGGCTATCAATGTCAAAGAGGAAAATGAAATGAAAGACTCAAAATAGAACAAGTTCATAGAAAACATTGTTCATTAACAAAACTCTTCCAGATGACAAGCTATAGCAAGAAAATAATTCAAGTACTTTTCATGTCAAGGAGAGAACTAAGATGGAACTAAAATGATACAGATGAGCTAAGCTGATGAAAAAGACAAAATGTTCTCATTTGCTTAAAATCTGCTAATAATTATTTTCCTCTTATTTTTGCCATATTCAGCCATTCATGAGAGAAAGCCCCCATTTTCTAAGTATATGTTTTGGACTTCTTGGCCAATTATCCTTGGAGCCAGATATATTTCAGAATTCAGATTTAAACTATTTTTGTTTTAGAAAGGTATTTCAGAGCAAATAATGTCCATTCTATAACATTCTCCACATCAGGGGAGCATTGGATAATCAAACACATGAATATTTCTGAGAAAAACACAATATTTTTACTAAGTGGGATGAATAAAAGACTATAAATATTCGGTCGTGTTTTACTGCCAAATGAGTTATGAGAAACTTTTTTGTCAGCATTTTATGAATTTTGGAATTGTGGGTAAAGAATTAGATCCCGAATTATAGGGTTCGTATTTTGATGTTGCCATGAGAAGCTAAGGGCTTAAAATTCCGAAAGAGATGATGAGGCATTATGAATCACAGAATTGGGACTGGAACATGAATCTCTTGAATATTAGTCAGCTGCCCCTCACGTCAGTGTTCTTCAGAACGCAGGCTGCAAATCAAGAGTGGATCATAAAACTGATTTAGTGGGCCAAATCTAGCATCTAAAATGAAATGGAATAAGCCAGAACAGAAACTATCAGAGTGCTTTGCTTGTAGTTATGTGTGTCTATCAGGTTACAGAGCAAACACATTTTTTGACTATGGAAGTCCAGTCAAAAAATTTTGAAAGATACTGTACCAAGACAAGCTAGGTTCTAAATTTAGTTTCTTACAGAAAAATGGAAAGCAAAGGTCTATTAATACATTTTAATAAAAATTTGTGAAATGAAGAATGGTTATAAATATTATTTCCCTACAGTTAACAGAACGAAATGGATGCCCTTTTACAAAATGAGATTTAATTAAGTTGTCAAAAATTATGGCAAGTGTAACCTTTGGAATAAAGTAGGAAAAGTCTTACTGTTGAGTGGGTTATAATAATACAATTCTTAAGATTTATAATTAATTCAATCACTGTTGATAATAGGTCAATTGTGTTTCATTAATACTTGGCAGAAAATTTTAAAATTAAATTATTTTACTTAAAACATTTATTCAGATATTAAAAATGTCAATCACTAAAACAATCAGATTTCGATTTAGTACAGAGAGAGTATCAGGCAAACAGAGTCTGGCATTAAACACAAAAGCTACATAAAAATTGGAGATTTGCATATAAGATTTGATATTATGCTCACGTCTAAACATAACATGTTTTGTTACATGCGGAGATGATCTTATACCTGACTGTATAATTATGGCACTCTCTTTCCTCTTCTCCTGTAGTTTTTTGTACCTTCTTGAACCCAAGAATCCTCTGACACAGGCTTGAATCAAAATAAGCTTGTCAACGGCTTCCTTTCGCATTAAATTCAACTGTTCCACATGATAATATTTAAGGAACACCTTAAAAGAATTAAATAAATTCTTATTTAATAAATAAGAAACAAAAATAAAAAGAAATAAAGAAAAAATAAAACTATGCACACAGATGTGATAAAGTCATGTCCTATGCTTTGAAAAAAAGATTACATTCTAAATCTTTTCAGATCTTGGAAATCATTATCGTTTGCTTCTTTGGCCTGGATGTTGCTATATCATTATAGACTTTTATGCTTGAAGAAAGCCTCTCTTTGAGAAGGAATACAGTTCAGCAATCATCCTGTTTATTTACAACAGGTCACTAGGTTTTGTTGGTTGGGCCAATAAGAACGGAGGATGTTGAGCTCTTTTATCAAAGTTTTATCATATACTCTGAGCAACGCTAATTTTTATGCTTTTTTTTTGTTTTTTTGTTTTTTTAAAGACAATTGCATTTCTCCAATTTAAAAATCTTACAAATCCATTTGTAAGATAGAGGACAATTACAGTAGTTCATTCATCAAATGTTTACTGAGGCCTATTGTATGTATTTATCTGCTGGGGATACAAAGGTGAAGGAGGCAGGGGCCCTGTCCCTCAGGGGCTCACAGTGTTGTCAGCGGAGGGAATAAGGCAGAGAGGGCCCCAGGCAGAACTAACAACTTTCTCACTAGACGCAGCGTTCACCCTGGAGAAAGGAGGGCTGACTTTCAATCATTCTAAAATCAAGATGAATCGGAGCAATGGAGGAACCTGAAGGCCTGGAGATGTTCTCATCTAAGAGTTTTCAACCTCCCTCAGGAAATAAGAAGGTTTTTTTTTTCTTTTAATGGCTAAATTTACTAATGAAAATCACCTCAAAAAGAGTTGATTGACTCCACTAAGAAAGTCACTTAAATTCAAATTCAAATTCAAACAGCTGAGTCGTGAGACCTGGTAACTCTGACTATAGAACTCTGTCAGCGCTCCGTTACTTGAAAGCTTGGCACCATAGGCAAACAGTTTCGCATTAGGGGTTTTGATTGAATTTAGTTTTAATTTCTGTAAGACTCTAGATGTTAATATATTTAGTCCATTCTACTGTTGACAATTCATTTAAAATTCAATCTGTTTAAAAAGGTCATAATTTTTTTTTGCACAGCACTAGAAATGTTCCTATATTGAATACTTTTATCCATTTTAATGAGTTGGAAAGGGTGAAGTGGAAAAATACAAATAGCTTTAAAATGCTACTTAAATATCATGCAGAACTGGACCTGAAAAGGGCCTTTTTACAAATAAAAACTCCATTTGAAGTCAGGCATGTGTTTCAGACCATAAATCATGAGATTTCAGCCTGATGAAATTCACCTTTGTGAGCGTCTAAAAGAAAATGGTGTGAATAGAATACACACCTTCTTAATGCTCAGAATTTCCCCTTACTAGGTACTAAAGCAAATACAGATTACTGAATATGTAGGACACTCAGTCTAAGATAAACATTAAAAAAAATTCCTTAAATTGTTAGAGAACTAACTTCTCACCTGAACATTATGAAAATTCTCTCCCACACCTCCCACCCTCAAGACACAACCAATACAATTTCTTTGCAAATGTGTAAATTTGATTTAGTCTATGTCTATGGCGTGGCTGATCTAAGTTATCCTTGAGTGGTCGACCTATGAGTACTTCTTTGTCTTAGCTTGGGTGATATCTCCATCCTCCCGCAGTGATACATTTGGGTGCCCCTAAGACCCGGTACCCTGTTTATCTCCTCACCCCAGCTCTGAGGATCTCTGAGAAGCCCTATGCATCCTTTCTCCAAGCAGCCACCTGTCTTACTTCCATATTCAAAATTAGTTATGAGTTTTTACTTGATTCTCTGGGATTAAATAAGCTAAGTTCTCATAGGCTCTCAAATCTAATACATAAACACACCAATATCCAAACACATATAATGAGTCTAGTAACAATGGTGAACATCTCACTCTGGATAAATTTCAAGTTTACAATAGAAGCAAATTCAAGAATTAGGAAAAAAGAAAAACAGAAATCTACTGAGATTATTATGATTCTCTGCAGCTTTTTGACTACATTTGGCAGTGATAAGACAGAGAAAATATATTAGTCTGTGTTCAGTACTATGTGAAGTGAAGTATACTCATTATAAATTTCACCCTTTTTTGGATAAATCTTCAAGATCAATTTTTCTTGAATTTCTCAAAAGAAACTTTTATGAGAGCAGTTTCATTTTGCAAAAGAAGGAAACCTTTAAGAATTTATCAACTTACTTCCCTTATTTTAAGCTAAAGAGTCTATAACATAAAAAGCCACAATATTTTCAATCATTGTAAAATGTTATAATTCTCAGTAAATATCACAGTTACTAGTATTTTTCTTGAAAATTACGTGAAAACATTACTTTGGTTTTTCCAAGAGCCCAGTTATCCAGACCAGCTTTTTCCAAAATGGTGGCACAGGTGTCAGGGCTCACGGGGGGTTCTTCACTCCACTTGTAGCAGAGAACATGGTACCTTCAAATAGGAGAAAGGGCTGGTTAGCATTTCACAAAGGTCCAAGGTCTCGGTAGCCCAGCAGACACTTGATGGCTCTATGCAAGAGACGGAGGAGACTCCCCAGACGTAACCAGGGGAGCCTTTAGATATTGTCAGAACACCTCTGGAGTAGACTGACTCCAGATGATGCAAATTTGGACCAGTCTATTCATGCAAATTTGAGCATCGTTTTTTTCACCTTAGTGATTGCTTTTCAACACTTAACACTGAAATTCCCCACCAAAACTCTATCACTCAAAAAAAAAAAAAAATTAGCTGGGTATTTTTAAGAAGAAATCTTCCTCTGGGCACCAAAAACAGCAGGACTGCAGTGGCAGGAAGCAGAGGGAAAGCTTTATTCTTTTCTTTTCACCTTCACAAAAACATCGGAAGCTGATCTTAAAACTGGATGAAGGAGTTTAATTCCACACAACCTTCCTACCACTGTACACACGCCTTCCATCATTGTTTTTCCTTGAGTTACACTATGTCTCTGGCTGGAGTTTTCCTCTATTGGTTCAATAACATCAGTAATTGAGCGGAAGAAGTGAGTAAGCGTCAATGCAGGAGAGAAGTGGAAGAGCCACAAGTTTTTCAGGTGACCACAAAGTCTAATGGGGGAAAGGGGTGAATTAAAGGAAGAATTTCTTGGTGCAAGATTAACCCTTAGTGAGCTCCCTGACTCTCCCACTCTTGTTCTTCTGCTGCACATGCTCTGCAAACATGCAAACCTGGACCATGCAATCATGTTTCTCTGCTCTCCTCTCAGAGTTTGCAGCACTGCCAGAGAAAAATCACCATTAATCCACAGTGTGCTCCCTATGTGGTTTCCTCGATTCAGCTGGGCCCACAGGGATGCTCAGAATCCTGGTTGGTGTCCATGGCCACTTTCCTCACTCGATTCTCCAAACAGTTATTTAGTCTCTCCTGCCCTCTTTGAGTCTCCCACTTGCCCCTGTCCCCTGCACCACTCTCAGTAGATAAGCTTGTCTTCTGTTTTACTAGAGGCCACCAGACATGAGCTCCACGGACTTCTTCCCCAGCTGCAAATTCATTTGCGCACTATCTCCTCCTTCAGAGGAGGAGCTATCCATTCTCCATCTGCCTGTGTTCTACGTGCCATCTCCTCCTCCTCTTCTATTCTGTATATTTTCAACCCCATTTCTCTCTTCTGGCTCCTTTCCTTTAGTACAAAACAAATACCTTAAGTCTCTCTCATCTGAAATGATTCTATATCTCCCACTGGCTTTATAGATAAGTGGAAAGATTGTTTAACATAACCATCTCCATTTCTCTACTTCCCATCACTCCTCAGCTCCCGGAATCTTATTTAATCACAAGGTAATAAAGACTCGTACTCAATCACATGTGACCTTTTAGTGACGAAATCTAAAGGCTTGTCTTCCATCCTAATCGTAAGCGTTCTTTCTGCAACATTTGATATGGTTGACCACTTTCTTTGTCTTGAGAGAGTGTCCCCAAGGTTTCCATCACACCCGGTCCCCCTGCTGCTCCTCCTCCCTCTCATTCTCTCTGACATGCCCCAGATTTAGACTTGCTGCTTAAATGCTAGTGTTCTACAATGTTCCATTCTTTCTATGCTCTCTCCACAGGTGTCTCGTCTACCTGCACAGCTTCCCTGTATGTGAAGATTCCTAAACGTGCATCTTCAGCCCTGTTTACACAAACTCTAAACACATTACTTCTGACTGCCCACTCTACCTCCCCACCTGGTTATCGTACAGACATTCTAAACTCAGAAAAATTCATCGCCTTTTCTTTCCTCTGCCAGTTTCTATCTCTGTGAATGATGTCACTACTGTTTTAAACGGTACTAAAGCTAGAAATCTGTGTGTCATCCTAGATTCTTCCCTGTTCTTCACTCTGTGCATCCAACAAACTTAAAAATCTCTCTAGAAGCCATTTCTTTCTCTCTATTCCTACTGCCATTACCTTAAACCTACTTCTCATCACTTCTTATCTTGCTTTCTGTAATTGCCTCCCAAATGGTTAAGTCCATCTTCACTCCCTCCTCCCATTCCCTAGCCAACTTCCACAGCTTTGTCTGAACTATTTTAATAAAATGAAAAGCTGATTATGTCCTTTCCTGACTTGACAGTCTCCGAGCATTTCCCAAGTTCCAAGCTGGGATGGCACAAACGGGTGCTTTCAAAGGCTGGGCAGGTAATGAAAAAATGTGAGCCAGGAAGCAGTAGAAATGTAGGAAATGGGAAGAGCACACCTGCCGACAAGCAGTCATTTAACATTTGTTGCCACATATGATGTAGTCTGAAAGCATCCTCCTGCCATACATCCCTGCCTGCCTTTCCAGCCTTACTCTTTGCTATTTTCCACCAACATCTTGAGCTCCAGCAATGAAAGTTATTTAAAATTATGCCAAAGGGCCATGTGTGTTTGTGCCTCTATGCCTTTCTATGTGTTATTCCCTATGCCCACATGTCCTTCCATCTTCACTCCTTGTTCCCCTAAGGAAGACATACTCTTGCAATATTCTAGAAACGCTCTTCAACATATCTTTGATGAACAGATATCGGGTAAACTGATGAAATATGAGCGGGGAAAGCCAGAGAGCTGTTCCTACAAAACTGCATCCAGTGCTTTGGTTAGCCTCCATAAAGAAGTATTCTAGAAAACCATGGAATTAAATGTGGATAAAGCTGTCATAAAGGGTCGAGGAGAATAAGAATTAAGAAATATTCAGCTCTTTGATTGTTTCACAAGTATCTCTAACTTCTTGCTTTACTTCAAGAAATATTCACTACAAATCATAAATAAGGGATTATGGATAGCTTATGGAAGAAAGTCAATAAACTCTGATTAGTGGACTTTAAAGGAAAAAATTAAGCTTATCTCAAAAGATTGAAAAGTAAACATCTGTTCATGTTCTTAGTTAAAATACAATATTTATAGTATGCATTTATGTGTTATTTTTATGCTTCTCTGCTTTATCTGAATTTTGACTATAACTAAGAAGTCTTCCCCTTTCCTCCCCCCCCCACCATCTCTACTTCACGTTCTCAGAGTACCCTGTGCATATTTTTATTAAGAATATCCACTATTCTTTCATTCATTTTCGAATATTTATGGAGCACCTACCATATGCCAGGCACGCTTCTAAGTGCTGGGACCCGGCAGTGAACACAGCAGACCAACACCCTGCCCTGGGAGTTTCCACCACATTGTACGATAATGTAGATCATTAGATCCGATTCCCTCAACCAACCTGTGAGTTTCTTAACATCAGAGGCTCTTTTATTAATCCCTGGATTAATCTTTTGTTCAAAGACTGGGACATAGTGGGTGCTCAATTAAATGTTTGTTGAATGACTAATGAAGCACCTCTGGGACTTGCTGTGGAAATAAATATCTAGGTAGACCAGATGCGCTTATGGATGAAAGCCCCAGACCCATGCTTTGTTGTGCCCCTTGTTTTGAAGCCAACATACTGACTTCGGCTTTGTTTTTTATGAGTTAGCTGCATGGTTTACCTTGTGGGATTTGAGACCACAGCACTGTAGGGGTCTGCAAGTAATTTGGGGACCTTGGGGCTGAGGAAAAAATAATAATGAAAATAATTATAGTTAATATGTATGGATGACATTTGGTTCTATCAACAGACTTCATATATATTATTTCATTTAGTGCTCATAACCACAAATGAAGTAGATACTATTATCATCATTCCTATTTGCAGATGAGAGAGACTGAAGCTCGAAGCTTCTAGAACTCAAGTTACTTTGAACAAGGTCACATTTAGTAAGTGGCAGAACTGGGATTCAAACCTGGGTTTTCTGACTTCAAAGCATGTATGCGTCCGTGCTCCACTATCCTGCTGCCTTCCATCAGTTCTGGCTGCATCAGAGCTCTGGTGGCAAAACTGAGCATAGGTGCCTGGCAGGAAAATGGGGCTAACTCCATGGCTTCTTAGGGTAAGGGTTCATTTGAAGCAACTACAGTCCAAACCCAGCGTCTTGTGCAAAGTCAGTTTACATTGTCTATCTTCCCTTAAGATTATTTCTTTGTCACAAAACAGAGGAGCTTATCTACAACAGAACAAAGTGTCTGATGAATTTTGCATCATACAAGGCGGGTCAGTCAGAGGCTAAGGCAGGACTGAGGAGGGTTAGTCAGTGCTATTTACACCTCCACAGGCCCTCCGCAAATTGCTCAGCCTTCCTCAGAGTCTACGCCAATTTGGATGACAGCTTTCAAATTTGTGACAGAGAAAAGGTTTATTTTATTTATAGCCTTTTATTTCTAGAACTTCCTGTATTCAGAACAGCTATTCACATGTTCTCCGTATATTCAGCTTTTTCCCCTCCTCATTTATCATGCAGTAATTTGCTGTTTTGTAATAGCACAGGACGTGGAGATACATTTAAGAATTTCTTCTCACTTCTGACCTTCTAAATAAGCTCCTTTGAACTACGATATCATCAAGAAAATAGATTTGGTTCTCCTTATGATACATATTGATAAACATGGATAATTTTGAAACTGTTAGTCTGGCTTTTAAATCTCTCTCTTCATAATTTTATCCAGACCAGTTTCCCCATCTGATCCCATCTTATCTTCTGTCACCTCTGTCACTTCACTAAGGCCCACTCTGCCGATCCAGTCTAACCCAAGTCCCTCTGGCTTTTGGTACACCATGTACAGAACGGAGAATTTACCTGTTGGTCTATAAGAAATTCCAATATTTTTAATTTCTTAGTTTTGGATATAAAGTTGGGTCTGCTCGGTGAGAAGTGAAGCCAGTGATTTGATGCTGGCCGTACTTCTGACCTCTGAAATTTGAAGCTTTAAAGCCTGTCTTAAGCTACTATAAAGGATTTGCCAATATGAGTGTCACCAGATTTATGCAATTTTGCTCTCCATCATGAAAAAGTGGTAAGGTCTTTTTTATTTCAAGGTGCTCCAAATAAATACCTTTCTTTTCTTTCCTAGGTCTCTAAATAAAAAAAAGAAATCAAGAACTACCACAAATTGATGAAAAAATGAAAATTTGCAAAAAGAATTAGAATTCTTGTTTCATTCAGTGAGGGTCCTGGTTACCTCAGGTAAAAGAATACTTGACACAGACAAGACGGTGTTTTATTATTTGGGGGAGAGCGTTAGAAATTACAGTTCATTGTGCAATCATAAAGCTTTGTTTTGTTCTTAACACTAATTCATACATTCTGAAAAAGGTCAGAGAATGTTATATATGGAGAATTCCTCAAATGCTAGGTTTCAGCTGAAAATTGTAATGGACTTCACTTCTGAAAATTGAAATTTCAGGTTTAATGGCTAATGGAAATCATAGAATTGATAAAATATCAGAAACGTGCACTTAAAATATTAAAAATAGAAAATGCTGAAGTTCTATATCACCACTAATGTATGATTTAATATGTAGCTTGATTCATTTTACATTAATCTCAGATATTAAAAAGGACTCCTTAGACCTAACTGAGTCTCTATGTCTTCTAAATCACTTTTAGAGACAGAATCTCATTTGGTCCTTACAACAATTCTATCGGGTAGTCACAGCACACTCATTAGATGAGGAAACGAGGTTCAGGCTAGGCCCGGGTTTCTCAACCTTGGCCCTGTGAACACTTTAGGCTGGATAGTTATAGGTTGTGGGGTGGCTGGTCCTGCACATTTTAGGATATTTAGCAGGATCCCTGGTCTCTACCCACTAGAGGCCAGCAGCAACTCCGCATCCCACCAGTTGTGACAACCAAAAATGTCTTCAGACATTAAGAAACGTCCTTTGAGGGGCAAAATGTGCCCTCATTGAGAATCACTGGTATAGGCCCCTGGTCACATAGCTAGTGGCAAAGCTGGAATGAAAACCAAATCCTTCAGCTCCTCAGCACAGAAGCTCAGGCCTCTGATGATGCTGCCTATGACCTGTACCTTGTGCTACCATATAGGATCTCCCAGCTGACAACAGAACTTCCAGCCACAGGTAATAGTTACCTTCTCTTGCAATACAGAATCATCTGCGTGAACAAAATGCCTCCCTCCTAGGACACCCAAGTAATTCTCTCTCCTATTTTGTTTCCTATAATTCTTCTGACACATTTTTATACAAACTGCACATGGAAACTTAAAAAAGAAATCTACATACCGCTTTATAAAGTTAGCAAAAAGTATCCGATGTGAGTATCCTAGCCTTCGAATTCTTGCTGTTTCCAGAATTCCCGTGTAGCGAAGCTGTAGCAGAACTTTGTCTTTGTCATATTTTCTCGCCTGACGTTCATTATTTGGTTTGATGCAACGGACGAAATGAGGTTGGCCCACCACCATTTTAGACAGCAAATCCATCAGAGAATACTATAACATGAACAAAAAGAAATTTCCCAGGGTAGCAGACAAAAACCTAACTAGCAGGTCTTTCTTTTTATCATGAGAAAAAAATCTGAAAGCTGAATGTTACAAATGCTCGCACTAATTCACAGAAGAGAAATCTGTATTAACGAAAGTTTTATTTATAGTATATTTTTTAAAATGCAGGTTTACTCACAAAAATGTAAATGCAATAACTAAGAACTTAGCTACTAAAAGCCTGCCTATAAACTTTTAAGGCAACTTTAATTAATAGATAAAATTATTTTTTATACAGTTTGTTTGTAAGTAATGATATTCTTTCAGGGAAACTTTCTGAACTGCATTATTTAGGCACACAATCTGCTTTCCTGCTTACACTGCTAATATCCTTGCCTAACTCTTTCTTTAGAGAAAGTATGTAAGTAAACACTTTAATCCCTATCAGAATCATCTCCTAGTTTAACATAAGGACTGAGAAGTTAATGAAGTTTAATATATAGGACACGGTTATAAAAATAAACAAATCCATTTAAGTACTCTAATCTGCTCTCGTTTGATAATTTTCTTATTTTGGAAGTTTTTTAATTGCACAGATATGAAAACTGCATTCTGCAGCAATACCTTACTAAAACAGCCGCCAATTACTGGTCAACTAAGTGCAACATATTTGGATAATCATGGTTCAATTAAAAGTGCAACCCCAGAAAACTAGTATGTCAAAGACCAGGATTACAAATTACTGGCAAGGAAAAAAATGTATGGCCATAGATAGCTGTTGACGGCTGGATCTCTTTTAGTGTTGGAAATATAAAAGCTGACATTACAAAGCCAGTGCAAACCGACCAGTGGAACTGGGCAACTGACAAAGCACGGGATATGCATGGCTTCCCCTTGGGCACCCACACTCCGATGTGATCTTCTTCAAACAGCTGGGTCTGCCACCTTGGAGCCCTTTATCATTACGTTTATCGGTGAGTCATCATTCCTTTCGTCATGCAAACACCTGCCAAGCACTGGAGATACAAAGGTGATCTGCGTGCCTGGTGACATTCTGAGTAAGAGCTGACTGTAATTTATGCACTGGTTTTTCTCAGGGACCAAGACAGAGTTCATGCGTACTATGTTCATTCTTCTCTGCAGAATGAAAAATGACTTTTAAAATATATTATATACTACACATGGAATTATCTTCTATCGCCTTCACTTCAGCCTGAGGAGTAAAATGATTTTATGAACTAATGATTTAAAGATATACACGGTGTTTGATGTCAACAACAGTGGTAGGATGGTGGTCTTGGATAACTCAGTTAAAAAAGAACACGATGTGGCCGTAAGTACTCTCGGTGATTCAACTGTGGTGCGGTCCTGATGTGAGCTGAATGCACCAGCAGCGAACGTGAGATATGAAGCATATAAATGTACTAGGTGCTACTCAAAGATGAGTAAGCACATACTGGCTCTTATGAGCTTAGGACTTGAAAAATATTTACTAAAACTATCCAGCTATTTTTAAAAGTATTTTTTGATTCTGTTAGGGAACTGGATTTATTCACTAAACACTTACAGTAAATTTAACCCAAACCCCCCTCCCCCATTAAATTAGTCATGCTTCATTTAATGAAGGGGATGTATTCTGAGAAATTCGTCCTTAGGCGATTTCGCTGTTGCGTGAACATCATAGAGTATACTTACACAAACCCAGATGGTATAGCCTACTACACGCCTAGGCTATAAGGTATTCATCTTATGGGACCACCGTCATATATGCAGTTCATTGTTGATCGAAATATCATTATGCAGCATGTGACTGTATAACTATTAATAATTTCCAAGTTTTAGGTGATATTTTCTTCATTTTCATTGGCTGGTTAATAAAATTTTATCAAAAGAGACAAACAGAACTGGAACCAATATAGAGGGCAAGGTTACCTAGAGTTCTCCAGAACACAGAGAAAATAAAGTGCTTCTTTTCTTTCCTTTCCCCCATAGTGTCCAAGGAAGAAAGGTCACCTTGATGCTACGCTAAGGACACAGTGACTCACTTCCTTGGCATGTTACTGTGCTTCTCTAGTGTCCCTTCTCCTTGCCCCGCTCCTACACCAGTTCTATTTTTCTTTTGAGGTTTGTCAGCTCCTCTATGTGCAGGGAGATATGGAATGGAGATGAATGCTCAACCCTGCCCCATCTGTCTATCGTAAAATCACTCAGGAGTGGGAAGAAGAACTGACCGGTATCATAGCATCAAATTAAAAATCCTTTTAAGTTTTATTCTAGTGGGACTGTGTTTGGTTCTATGGGCAAATTTTAATCAAGCTGTAGAACTCCACTATGATCAACCTGCTATATGATAATTTTACAGATAAAATATCAAAGCACACCAAGCCACAGAGTTTCAACTGTATATTCTAATATGTCATATATCTAACGAACAGAAAATGAAACACAATAAAAATCCTCTTTTGCTAATAGCACTCTGACATTTGTTACTAGCTTTAAATCTGTAACTTTCATTTAGAATAACAACCCTAAGCGCAACAAATCATAATTTAATATCTTACTCTAAAATATGATGCTACTGTTTGTGTTTTCATGTTGGTCGTCTCTCTGGCACGACGTGTGGCTTCTCCAATTTCACCCTAAGAAGACCAAGGGAAACAGAGATGTTTCAGTGCTTATGGTACTTTATGATCTACAGGGAGCACGTGGTTATCATAGCCCAGGCTTTCATACACACAAAAGAACAAAATGTCATTGATAGTTCTACTTTAAGGTAATTCTTTTGCTAGTCTCATTGGAATTGGAATTGGTCTGGCATAGCATGTGATTATCTTTGAATTAGCTAATACATTTTAGTTGGTCTTAGTGTAATACTAACACGAGCTATAAATGATGAGTTAGGAATATATCAGAAACGCATGATTATTCTACTGACTAGCAGTAATATGAACATAACATAAATATCTGCTCAAGCAGAAAAAAAAGATCAGAGGGAGAAAAACTAAGGAAAAGGCTATTTATTTTTAGGAGCACAAAACACTGCCATTGTAAAGGTTAGGTTCTTAGAACCGCTGCCACGAACAGTGCACTTTCTTACCTTTGTCAGGTCGGTTCTTTTTTCTGAAGTCCTCATTTGATAATTTGTTATATTTTGAGTTTTTAAACGTGGCAGGTTACCTATGGGAATGTAGATAAAATTAATTTACCTTTTAGAATCATTTATAGCTAGAAGATATACCCCATTTACTTAAATGTTAAAATAAACATTGTTGACCCCACAATATTCAGACTCACATGCTTAGTTAACTATTTATTGAGAAACTCAGGGATAAAATAATACGTGAAAATGTGTAACAAATTTTAAATTCAGAAAAACTCCACGTTGGAGAAGAGAAAAGGTAGGGTAAATGTTGGATTTCCTTTTAATTGCTACAAGATATAGGGTGACTATGATAAAGGGAGCAATTTGCTGCTTTTTTGTGTTTGTTAAACTGCATACGAGATTTTCTTTAAGGCAAAAGTAAGCTTTACAATGGGCCTTAAAAATCATGCAGATCATTAATTCACATGAAGAGGTTATAAGCAAACCAAGTATGGTTGAGAGGATGGACATTTTCAACCTAACACTCAGAAACAGTGCCTGGTGCTAGGGCTACACAAAAGTACACAACCCAATGCTGTGAAAAAATTATGATGTAGTGAAAAGATTATGGCCTTGGAAGCCAGGAAGACCTGGGTTTGAATACCAGCTGTAATACTTAAATTGTTTTGCCCATGGATCATTTACTTAGTCTCTGAGTTGCAGTCTGAATCTATAAAATGGGGATCATGATGCCTACCTCACAGAATTTTGATACGTGATAATACGTCTGGCACATGGTGGGTGCCTGGAAACATTAGTTCACTTTCACTGGTCTCCCATCTCCCCCAAGCACAATAAACTAACCAACCCACAATCCAAGAGTTCATCATCCTAATGGTAATGTTCAAAATGTCTCCAGAATTCAGTATCACTTCAGGAAGATCATTCTTCTTCACTCTCACTCTTTTAGATGACAAATAGAGGCCAATCCCACACATTCTTTGTGGCTGCAAAGACTGGCTCTGAGATGGTGGTACAGGAATGAAGCCTGCCTGGGATGTAGCTGGCAATGCCTCTGCTCTGCTCACATCCCTCTTCCCTCGTTCCCCCAGGAAAAATGCTGAGAGGGGCGTGTGGGACGACTTCGTGCTGGGCTGAGACGGCACACGACACTCTTCAGTCTTCAAGCCTGAAACTTACTGAAGACCGCAGAGTGGACAGAGAGAGTAACCCGTGATCTTCAGAGGAGCAGCTCCGGGAATCTCACTTATTGTTCTCTCTCTTTTTTAAGGATTACCAGGGAAAGATTTGGAAAAAAATTACCACAGACTTGGAAGTTTCTTGGAAGCATGATGAATCTACAAAGTTCACATTAATTAGGATAGACTGAGTACTTAATAGATACCATTAACTTAACATTAGCCAAGTAAGAAGCAAAATTTTAAGTCTATCTGGAAACTTAAAAAAGTAGAGGAAATTCAGTAAAGGATTAATAATTTCACTTTAACAAAATTTATACATTAGTTATCAAATTATTTAACAAAATAAACAAAAGCCTTTTAAAAATTCATCTCTGCATATCAACAAGAAGTAAAATGAGCACAGATCTTAATTTCAGAAAATATATCTAGTTTGCTTTTATAGTTGGCCTGATGAAGAAACCTGTCATAAACCAAACTAGAGATGTGAGCTGCAGGGATTTGTGGTGGCTTTTCCCCTAATAATGGCTAAACTACATTTCATAGTTGAAGCCAAACACGGAGAAGGCCAGGGTTATTTTAGCATCTTGGAGACAGCATAATATAGAATTGAAGAACCTGAACTTTCAAGACTACTTCTAAGACTTCCCAGTGGGATAACATTAGGAAAGATGCCCAACATTTCCAAGCCTCAACATCTCATCTGTAAAAGTAGTACCTCCTTATAATGTTGTTATTAGGAGTAAATGAAACTACTTAGCACAGTGGCTAGCACACTGCAATTTCTAAACAAAGCTATCTATTATTATTATTATTATATGTTTGCATATCTAAGTGAATATAAAGCCCAAATGCCTTTGATAGCTTTGAAGTTCTCAGGTACTGAAACACCTTTGACTATGAAGTGCTTCTCTTCTCCCCAGCCAACTAGACACTGTTCTGCTGACAGTCAGGAGACATAATATAATATTGAGAACCTGACTGCATATTTTATAAGGGTGGAAAACATGAAGTTAGATGTATAGATGCTGCTGGTGGATACACAAAGAGATGATGATTGTTAAAATCAAAACTGAAGACTTTTGCTTCTGGGCAAGATAAAGTAACAGACTGGATTAACCGAAACAAAAAAAAATACAAAATATAGGGAACAATAGGGTTCTTTTTCCTTCCATTTTTTTTAAATTGTAGTAAAAGACACATAACATAAAATTTAGCATCTTAACCATTTTTAAGTGTACAGTTCAGTGGTATTAAATACATTCATAATGCTGTGCAATCACCACCACCATCCATCTCCTTAGCTCTTGTCATCTTGTAAAACTGAAACTGTATACCCATTAAATACCATCCCCATTCCCCCCACCCCCAGCTCCTGCAACCACCATTCTCCTCTTTATCTCTATGATTTTAACTACGCTAAGTACTTTATGTAAATGGAATCATACAGTATTTGTCTAGGAACAACAGCTTTCATAAATTGTGCACCAAGCAGTACAGGAAATCAAGCCCTGAGAGAGGGGAACAAACGAGGTGAGGCCTATGATTACCCCAGCTTCTGTCTGAAAAGGTTTTATGCTGCAGTGCAGGAAGGGGAACCCAAGTGAAGCCTAGGGGAAAAAAACAGATGCACCCAACAGAAAACAAATAGCAAGGTGGTAGAGTCAAATCCAACCATATCATTAATCACATTAAATGTAAATAGTTTGAGCACTCCACTTAAAAGACAGAGATTATCAAATTGCATTTAAAAAAGCAAGGTCCAACTATGTGCTGTCTATAAAAACCAGCTTTAAACATAAACACAAAAATAAGCTGAAATTAAAAGTATAAAAAAGATTTACCATTCAACCACTAATAGTAAGAAAGCTGGAGTCTTCATATTAATATCAGGCAAAGTAGATCTCAGAACCAAGAATATTACCAGGGATAAAAAGGGCCATTTAATAATAGTAAAGGGGGCTATTCATCAAGAAGATATAACAATTCTAAATGTTTATGCACCCAATAATAGACCTTAAAATTACATGAAGCAAAACCTGATATAAATAAAGGAAAAATAGATAAACTGACAATTACGGTCAGATATTTCAAAACTCCTCTCTCAGTAACTGATAGAACCAGGAGAGTGAAAACCAGCAAGGATACAGAAGACTTGATCAATACTATCAATCACGTTGACCTAACTGACATTTATAGAACGTTCCACCCAACAACAGCAGAATTATTTTCAAGTGCAAATGAAACATAAAACAAGACAGACCATATTCTGGACCATAAAACATGTCTCAGCAAATTTAAATGGATTAAATCATACAAAGTATGCTTTCTGAGCACTATGGAATTAAATTAGAAGTCCATAACAAAAAGATACCTGGAAAATCCTAATATATTTAGAAATTAAGCAGAAGACTTATAATAACCCATATATATGCATATATTAGAAAAGAACAAACATTTTCTTAAGCCACTGATCTAAGTTTCCACCTCAGAAATCAGAAAAAGACAGAATAAAACCCAAAGTAAATAGAAGAAAAGAGGCAATAAAAAGCAAAAAAAATCTACAAAATAGAAAGCAAAACCAATAGGAAAAAAAATCAATGAAACCATAAACTGGTTCTTTGAGAATAACAATAAAATTGATAACTTTCTAGAAAATCTATCAAGAATAAAATGAGAGAGGACACAAATTATCAATATCAGGAATGAGAGAGCTGACATAACTTCAAGATCTACAGATATTGAAAAGATAATGAGGGAATATTATAGTCAACTTTATGTAAATACATTTGACTACACAGATAAAACAAAGTTCTTAAAAGACACAACCTATTAAAGCTCATTCAAAAAATTAGATAAGTTAAATAGCCTTATGTTTATTAAAGAAATTGAATTTGTAGTCAAAAACCTTCTCCCCCCCAAATTTTTCAGGCTCAAATGGCTTCACTGATGAAGTCTACAAAGCATTTTAGGAAGAAATAATACTCATTGTACTTTTCCTGAAAATTAAAGGGGAGGCAATACTTCTCAATTAATTCTATGAGGCCAGTATTACTCTGATTCCAAAGTCAGAAAAAAATTAGAATAAAACTACAGTTCAATATCTCTCATGAACATAGATGCAAAAATTCTTAACGAAATGTTAGCAAATTGAATCCAGCAACAAATAAAAAGTCCAACGCATCATGACCATGTCAGGTTCTTCTCTGGAATAAAAAGTTGGTATAACATTTAAAAATCAATCAATGTAACTCACCATATTTGCAGATTAAAAAAAAACACAAATGGATGACCATCTCAATAGATGCAGAAAAAGCACTTGGCAAAATCCAAACAGGCATGCCTGATAAAAACTCAGCAAACTAGGAATAGAAAGAAACTTCCTCCTCCTGATACTGGACTATGAAAAACCTACAGCTAACATCACACTTAGAGAAAAACTGAATGCTTTTCCCCCAAGATCAGGAATAAGACAGGAATGTTCACTCTCGCCACTTGTATTCAACATTGTATTGGCGACTCTAGCCATCTAGCCAGGCAAGATGAAGACATAAAAAGTAAACAGAATGGAAAAGAAAGAGCAAACTTTAGTCACAGATGACATGATCATCTATGTAGAAAATCCTATGGAATCTACAAACAAAAAGTTACTCTAATAAACAAGTTTACCGATGTTGCAGGGCAAAAGATCAATATACTAAAATCAACTGTATTTCTATGTACCAGCAACATACAGAATTTGAATTAAAAATTACCATTTATAATAGCCTAAAAGTGATATACGAGCAGATAATTTGACAAAAGATGGGTAAGACTTGTACACTGAAAACTACAAAATATTGCTGAGAGAAATTAAGGAAGACTTAAGTAAATCGAGAGCTATACTATGCTCCCTGATCGGAAGACACAGTACTGTGAAGACAGCACTTCTCCAAAAATTAATCTATAGCTTCAGTGCATCCCAATCAAAGTCTCAGGATTTTTGGTAGAAACTGACACATCCATTCCAAAATTTATATGGAAAAGCAAAGGAATTATAGTTGCCTGAACAACTCTGAAAAAGAAGAACAAAGATGGGGAACTTATACTACATGATTTCAAAATTTTTTATAAAGCTACAGTAATCAAGAAGTTGGTGTTGCCATAAAGATAGACCAATACCAGCGACACACAATAGTGAGTCCAGAAATAGAATACAGTCAATTGATTTTCAACAAGGGTGCCTGAGCAATTCAATGGGGGAAGATCAACCTGTTCAACAAATGGTGCCAGAACAATTGGATAGGGGCAGCGAGGAGTGGAGGGAGGGATTACAGAGTCACGAGGAAACATCATTTGGGGGTGACGACTATGTCCACTATTGATTGTGGTGATGGTTTCACAGGTGTTTACGTATGTCAAGAACTCATCCAATTTTACCATCAAACACTCTTCCAGTTTTACTGCCTAAATATGTGCTGTTCATTGTATGTCAGTTATACCTCAATAAATCTATAAAAAAAGAAATGAAGAGAACAATTTTAAACTCCACTAAAGAAAACAACCCAAACTAAATTTTTTTTACTTAAAAGCAAATGCAAGGATTATATGATTGGGTGGAGCAAAGGCATGTGAGTTTTTAATCAATAAGGCAGAGCTCACTAAACCTGTAGAACCTCAAAGAACAATCCAGAAGCTGCCCAGTCCTGAAACAGCAGGCAATTCTGAACTTTGGAGGTGAGAGCATTCTTCTACTGAGTAGCTAGGATAGCACCACATTTCTTGGCGAGTGCTTCAAACACTTTTCTTTAAACAAAACCTAGCTTCCTTATATTCATTTTTATGTTTTCTTCAGATGGTTTGGGCAGAGGATATTAACAAAGATATACTTAGTGAGCTGAAAACAAACCAACACGAAAAACTGAGGATGATACTCATGAAAATCAGTCAGAAACTACTTGATTGGGCCCGAGGAACCTTCTCAGTTAAAAGAAATTGCCTTAGCTTACCTGTTTTAGTCAGAGGGTGGTTGACTAGCTGCCGAATCACACTGTTTTCTGATGACCTCAAAAGCAGCACGATATCAGTTGGAAGAGTGTCTCTATTTTTAGCTAAGAACCCACTTGCATTATAGAAGACCTGTTGATAAAGTATGTTATCATCATTATCACAATCGATGTCATCATCATCATCGTTATCAACAGATATTTATTGAGAGCTGACTCTGTGCTGAGTGACAGCTATACAAAGATCTATGAAGGCAGTCTCTTACAACTTGGCCAGGAAAGCAAACCTCTCCAGGTTTACGTCATATCTTGTCAGAGAAAAATCTGTGTCTCACTGATTCTGCATTGAAATCACCAAAGACATTTGATTCCTCTCATTTCTTCTGTTGGAAATTTGGTGCACTTCCTTTCTCCATTTAGAGAGTTGGGGGCGGCAGTAAGGAAGCACCCTGGGGCCACCAAGGCATTCTCATTTCTATGATAATTGATTCACCGGCAGTGAATTGCCCATTATAGAATTTTGTCTCAGTAGTAGCGTGGTCTAGATATGCTGTGGGCGTTTGTGTTTCTGGCACTTACAAATAATTTTAAGACTTTCTTTCTTTTTTCTTTTTAAAGATTGGCACCTGGGCTAACAAATGTTGCCAATCTTTTCTTTTTTTCCTGCTTTATTTCCCAAACCCTCCCCCCCGGTATACAGTTGTATATCTTAGTTGCAAGTCCATCTAGTTGTGGGATGCGGGACGCCACCTCAACGTGGCCTGATGAGCGGTGCCATGTCCGCGCCCAGGATCCAAACCCTGGGCCGCCGCAGAGGAGCGCGCGAACTTAACCACTTGGCCACGGAGCCGGCCCCATAAGACTTTCTAAAGATCGATGTAACCCAAAGATTTCTGTAGGATGAATCCAATATGGTTGTTGCTTTGTGCTGAATTGGGTCCCTCCAAAGTTAATATGTTGAGTTTCTAACCTCAATGTGACTGTATTTGGAGATAGGATCTTAAAGAATGTAATTAAGGTTAAATGAAGTCATAACAGTGGGGCCCTAATCCCATAGGACTGATATCCTTATAAGAAGAGGAAGATCGCTCTCTACCCGCTCACATACACAGAGAAAAGGCCACATGAGGACACTGTGATAAGGCAGCCATCTGCAAGCCAGGAAGAGTGGTCTTACCAGACACCAACCCTGCTGGGACCTTGATCTTGGACTCGTAGCCTTCAGAACTGTGAGAAAATGAATTTCTGTTGCGTTAGCCACCCAGCCTGAAATATTTTTATCATGGCAGCCTGAGCAGACTAATACAATTGTTAAAAACAACTGGATAAAATGATCATAGGGAATTCTTAATGGATATTTTAAAAGAGGTTTATTTGGAAGATAGTATAATTATTTTATTTTGCTTATGAATTTCTCATTCTATGCTTTCTTTCTTGTTTGTTTTTTTATTTTTTATTTTTTTTAAAGATTTTATTTTTTTCCTCTTTCTCCCCAAAGCCCCCCAGTACACAGTTGTATAGTCTTCCTTGTGGGTCCTTCTAGTTGTGGCATGTGGGACGCTGCCTCAGCATGGTTTGATGAGCAGTGCCATGTCTGCGGCCAGGATTCGAACCAACGAAACACTGGGCCGCCTGCAGCGGAGCGTGCGAACTTAACCACTCGGCCACGGGGCCAGCCCCTATGCTTTCTTTCTTGATTTTAATATCCTCTTAGTCCTCCAATATTTCTAACATCGTTTTGAGGGAAGGACCTGTTATTCTCTGCAGAAGGGAAAGAAAGTGTTCTCTGGGTATAGGAAAACATATGTGAGGTCTGCTCTGGTGTGGGAATGTGCGTGTATCAATACATAAACATTTCTTCCTTTAATTGCATAACAGCCCATTAGTCAATTCCATCTATCTCGGTTAGTTTAGTAATCTGAGCATACCTTCAGCCCAGCACCTTCTCTTGTCGGGAGAGAGGAGAGACAAAGACTGCAGTGGAGAGAGAAGCACCTGAAGTCCAAAAAGGCAGTTTATATAAAAGGTCCCCAGCTACCATCAAAAGAAGGAAAAAACAGGTACCCACTGCCAGCCAATCTCACCCAAAGCCAAATCTTAGGATCAGAAAAATAGACTCTTTGAGGCTTACCCCTTTCTTTTCTTTCTTATTTTCCCTTAGTTTATTAATAAAAATTCCTCTAGAAAACCTATAACCTTGTGTTTGTCAAACTAAGAGAAAGATTATTTTTTTCACCTTTTCAGGATAGATGCTAGACGTGGATGCCCTGGAGTCGGGGGCGGGGGAGGGGTGGGTTGGCAAAGGATAGGACAGATTGTGGGAAGCTGGAGAGTAGAGTTAGGACGAGATAGGGGCAGAAACAGATGGCCATCCCATTATAAGCATCTATAAATATTTTGGCCCATAATTTTCATGTGTATCTTTATTATTTAACAAAAGACTAAAGAGAAAGTCATAATTCTTCAAAGTTCTTACCTTTCCTGCATAATGGTGAATTCCAAAACAAAGTTCCATTCTTTTGGGCCTCCAGAAGTACTGTGATTTCAGGTTACCTTCGAATTTTTCTATAAGAAAAAAATTGAACTCCAATATGAAGCATGTAGGAGATCTTTCAAAAATATTGATCCACAGAATCATCTCTTTCACCATAAAACAATGTGCAGTGAAAAAAGACAGAAAATTTGACATAGCTAACATATGCAAATTTGGAATATAATTGTAAATGGGAAGGCAAAACACAAGACCATGAATTTTACCATTCCGTTATGATTTAGGGCAGCAGTTCTCAAACCCTAGCAAGCATCAGAATCCCAAGAGGGCCTATGAAAACATAGATTGCTGGGTCCCGATCCCAGAGTTTCTGACTCAGTAGGTCTTGAGTGGGATCCAAGAAGTCACATTTCTAGTAAGTTCCCAGGTGATACTGATGTTTCTGGTCTGGGGACCACATTTTGAGAACCATTGGTACAGGAAAGGGAACTACCTGAGACTAACCGATCAAAGAGGTTTTTGAAGCACAGTTTCTTGTGAAGCCATGAGCCTATTCTGGCTCTCCTTTCTATTAGAGGAGCTACAAGTTATTACTGATTGCACAGGAAACACAATAGGACCAGAAAGGCAGTTACATTTCTTAACAATTTACCACCTTCAGAGAACTTTTTACTCCATGTCCTAGAAGTAACATTTTAACACCAAAATCAAGTGACTGCTATGAAATGATTTTCCCCGCAACCTTGGGGTTATTTCCTTTCCCATCTAGTGTCGTCCAATCAGAGGACAGAATAAGCCAGTCAGTGAATCAGAAGGAAGCAACACCACCGACTTAATGGTAGGAAACAGACTCTGTATATCCTCAAAAGTAAGTGAGAGAAAATGTGAATCCAGTTTTTCTGTAAGTATTTATTGTACAGAATGAATATCTCCTACCATCAGAAAGCATGGTGTTTCCACTTTAAAAAGTGATTTTTTTCAGGTACCTGAAAAATCTAAAGTTTTTTTTTAAATTTAAGGAGTAGGAGTTTTTAAAGGTATTTTAGATGATAATCTTCCTAAATATAGTATACACTTCTCTGCCTTCTCAAACAGAAAAAATGAATATGTTTAATCTTTCTTTGATGACTCAGGATAATTATCATGAACATTAATTAATGTACTGTAACCTAGAGATTATTAAGGTATGTGAAGCTATTTGCCTCTATTAGATAAATGACTAGAACATCACAGATGAATTTATTTCCCTTCCTGTTAACTATCTCCTTTCAAATTCTAGTGCTTTCCTTTTGCCCTGCCCTCAAATTTCTAATTTGGGGCTGGATAATTTCTGAGGTCATTTCTAACATAAGATCCTATGGTTGGGGCTCTGCCATAATATAAGGAGAAGTCAATATCAAAACTTGTTTAATTCAGCACTAAATATTTCACCCTCTTATAAACATTGACTGGTCCAGATATTAGATCCAAAGACTCTTTTTTAACATTATATATGCAGGCTTTGTGACTTTCTCCCAGATCATTAAAAAAAATTTTTTTAATCATTCAGAATTACATGACTATATTCAGAAAACTATTAAGACACTAAATTCAAAACTCACCTATGAGAGTCTGGTCGGTTGCCTTGGGAAATCTACTTTCTTCATCAAGTAGGGATAGTAAACCCATTGGCTTCTGCAGAAACATATCTAGGAGGGGCCGGTTATCTTCGTATTCAATAACTCTAGCATCAACATCTTCATTTAGGTATTCATTCTATAACAGGAAATAATACATACAGAAAAATTCGCATAAAATTTTGTGACTAATATGTAGCTTGGCAGTTATTACCTGACATTCTACTTTACACATATTATAATAATTTGCTCCCTATACCTGGTCCTTACACTGAAGGTATCATGTTGTTTTTTTCTCCCTGCACTGCTAGTTCATTAAAGTCAGCACTGATTATACTCAGGATAGTAATGAAAAGTTTCTAGTCTCTAGACTAGAATTAGACATCTTAAGCTTTCAAAATGCAAGTGATTATGTTGTTAATGAGCAGTAATATAACTATGTTCCAGGATTTACAGAATATTAATTAGGTATATCTTAGGGTTACACGTCCCCCAATTTAAGCCTTTTATCGAGTTTCAGAAATGGATCTCTCAAGAACATTTACATAACTTTTCAGTCACGATGACATGTACATTGTTCGTAGAGTGGACAGCTGTGGGTCATAGGGACAACCAACGGATTCAGAACTGAGAACTCACGGGTTCATATCCAGACTCTGCTGCTTAACTAGCCAAGTAATCCTATGAATTTTCTTACTCTATAAGCTTCCATTTTCTCATCTACTAAATGTAGGTAACAATCTCCATCTAACAAAGTAAAGATATCTGGTACATTAATAGCCATGTGCTGTTGAGTATAAGATGCATAAAATAAAGACGATGAACAACAATTACTCTAAGGTCATGGTGCCAACACAACATAGGGGCTGATCTATTTTACAAAATGGACAAGAAGAACTGTGCTACAACTTTGTTTCTATGACTTTGCCTTCATACCGCGCCCCTACCCCAGTGCCACAGTCTGTCAAAGAGGACATACGTGACCTCTGAACTATGACTTGCAGCGATGCTTACATGTAGAGTACTCGCCGGTTTTCAGGTGATAAAGCAACTATCACTGGGCAAGGGGATCAAATAATCACTTGGCAGAACGTTCCGCATCATGCACAAGTTCAAATTGCAGGCTATTTTCATTATTATTATTATTGGCAAAGGAATCTTAATATGTTTTTAAATTTTTTATTGAGGCAACGTTGGTTTATAACAATATATAAATTTCAGGCGTACATTATTATATTTCTACTTCTGTATAGACTACATCATGTTCACCACCAAGTCTAGTTGTTCGTATTACTATTATCTAGCCTATATTATTATTTTAATACATTCTTTAATTAATTAAATATGTTCATTAAATACCTTTTAATAGGCACTATGATGGGTGATAAAGACATGCTTAGAACAAATTCCCTTTCTTCAGTGGATTTACAATATAATTTGAGCGATATACATTCAAAATGCAAAGTAACATAGGATAGATAAATGCTATATGCGATGTATTACAAGAGTTCAGAGAAAGAGAGCTTATTTCTGGCCACTTCCTGGAGGAATTCAGCCAATGGCAAATGGGGCATTTGATCAGCCCAAACTTTTAATCACTACTTTTGGAGCCTCATGGAATTGAAATCTCACGTCAAGGGTCTCACCAGGAAAAATAATTGTATATTTCTAAATAAAACAAAATCTAATACATAAAAATGAGGCAGAACTCGTTCTAAAAGGTAAATCACTTGAAAGACAATCAGTGTATCCAATACAAACAAATGGAAACAAGGTCTTGAAGTTTCACAGCTTTTTCATTGAAGGTGACCTTGGGAGAAGTATGCAGACCTAAAATCACTTTACAGTCAGACACATTATGCTGACAGCATATTACAGTTTAAATGGCAACCGCTAAGTTCAAAAGAGGTTTTGCATGTTTTATACAGAAAGCACATGAGGTTAAGGTTCAAACCAACGCACTTGTCATTTCTATTTGCCTGTGTCAAAATCCACTGAGTGCTTTGTGGCAGGTCATACAGGGCAGAGATGAGTAACTTGGAAAACTAGGAGCTCCTCTTTAAGATACTTGTTAGTGTTACGGACTCCAGGCAAACCAATGGAGAAAAAACGTTATTACTCAAGATTTATAAAGCACTTTTAGTAAAATGATCATGCCTCAACTTATATATTATGCATTTTAAAGCAGTTATGGTCTCAAAATGCTTAGTCGTTTTTAAGCATATGCAGAGAAATGAAGCTCATAGAGCTCTTCAGAAAGTCCTCTGCTACGCCCTGTACGTTAAAGATACATTTAAAGCTGATGAGTAGAGTTATTAAGTGCAGGAAAACTGAACTGCTTAGCAGGAAGGATTATATAACCCTTACTCTCTTCAGATGGCCTGAGTTCCCTTTCCCAAAATGGTAGACGGACAAGCATTCTAAGTATCTAACAAGGAGGCAAGATAAAGCAGACTTGGATGTTAGGAAACCTCATGCCCTAGTCAGATTCTCCCTTGTTTTTCATTGAGTTTTGAGTGTGAGCTGTGAAAGGACACAGCAGCAAGAAAGTCCACGGAAGGTGTACCTCCACAGCTATGGCCTAAACAACAAGCTTAACTATTTGGGCCAAAGTGCCACTGCAGGAGTTATTCAAGATTATTAACTTGAGTCTTCAGACTCACACAGCAGCATGGACGGGTGGTCACCACAGGCTGAGAGAGGCTGCAAGCTTCCGCGTGGCTTCTAACGCAGGTGGAAATTTAACCACAGATTACTCAGCACAGATTAACACCACAATGACTCTCCTCACTCAGGTCTCACCACCGCAGAGAGACCTTCCCCCATCTCCAGGACTAATTCAACTACTTCCCTTCCTCAGCTGATCACTCTCTACGCCGAGTACCATTGCTCTAAATTTTTTCATGGTATTTCTAGCATGTTTACTTGTTTATTATTCTCTCTCATTAGAAAACTGCATGACAGGAACTTTATTCGCCTCTGTATCTAGGGAAGCTGGGGCATGTTAAATATCTGAGTGTATGGATTGAATTGTGTCCCTCCACCGGCAAATCAGATGTTGAAGCCTTAATCCCCAATGTGGCTGTATTTGGAAAGAGGGATTTTAAGGAGGCAGTTAAGGTTAAACACGGTCAGAAGGGCAAGGCCCTAATCCCATAGGACTGGAGTCCTTATAAGAAGGTGAAGACACACCAGGGAGGCGTCTGCACAGAGAAAAGGCCATGTGAGGACACAGCAAGAAGGTGGCCACCTGCAAGTCCAGGAGAGAAGCCTCAGGAGAAAACAACCCTGTCCATACGCTGACCTTGGACTTCCAACCTCCTGAACTGAAAGTAAACTTCTGTTGTTTGTCACCCAGTCGGTGACATTTTGTCATGGCAGTCCTAGTAAATGAATACGCTGAGCTTTCTGGATTCCTTTTGCAAGAGTCATTTTGAAAAGCAGTTTTCCAGATAATGGATTAGGGTGAAAACAATAAATCATGCGTGTGTGTATAATCCTTAATTACTGATTATAAACGTAGTACATGCTCACATAAAATTTAAAATATTGCAAAACCATTAAGACCTTAAAATTAACTTATAAATTCATCTCCTATAGATAATGTCTTAATATCTAGTGGAATCTTTACAGTCTTTTTCTATGCATAATATTTTTAAGAACAGGAATCATGCTATTCAATTTTAATTTTACTGTATTTTCTTTGACAAAAGGAAAATAACATTATAATATAAGCATATACCCATGCAATTAATATATTTTCATAAATATTATTTGAAGGCTACATCAGATGACATCTGGCAGTTCCATTCCATCCTCTTAGCGGAGGACATTTTAAATTACTTCTTTATCTATTTTCAATAGTGCTCTGATGCACAGCTTTGTGCACAAGCTTTTCTGTATTTTGGATGATATCTTTAGGACAGATAGCTGACCAAATCGTGTGAATATTTTACAGGCTCCTGATGGGCATTTCTAGACTGATTTTTTTTTTTAAGTTTGCAGCAACGTGCTCTCAAATTAGCTCTGCATAAGCATTCCAAACTTGGAGCATCCTCACCAGCAATGAATATTCTCATTAAAAATTTTTTCTGATATTTTTCATAGGTGAGAATGATAGCCTATTGTTGTATTTGCATTTCTCTGATTAGATCTTAAATTACCTAAGAGGATAGTTTTGGGGGAAATAAAGTGGATATACGCTTAGCACATATTACATATGTAATGCCTGCCAGCCATTATTAGCACTATTATTTATTCTGCAGCAAATAATAGTAAACATAATTTAACTTTTTCTTGGGCTCAGAGACACCATTACACCATCAGTTATTGTGATGTTGCAGATTTGTGAAGCTAGAGATCAGACAGAGCTAAATAAAAGGAAAAGCTTAAGGACTTTGTGGAAAACATCCTTGATGTCCGGTTGGTTTTTGTTCCTTTGTCTCTTTCTTATTTTCCTCTATCTGTCCTCCTGATCACCTGCCTATCTTCCTTAGGAATTCATTCATGAAGCTGGCTTCCAAGTGACTTTCTGGAGAAATTATCTTCTTTTGCCCCCCTCAGTTTTATTGAGGGGTAATTGACATATAACATTGTGTAAGTTTAAGGTGTACAATGTATTGAAGTCAAACACTTATATATTGCAAAATGATAGCGTCAGCTGATATCTCTATCACCTCACGTAACTAACGTTTCTTATTTGTGGTGAGAACATGTAAGATCTACTCTCTTAGCAACTTTATATACCACAGTATTATTAATCATAGTCATTATGCTATATATCGGGTCCCCAGAACTTATTCATCTTATAACTGGAAGTTTGTACTCCTTGACCAATATGTTCCCATTTCTCCCAGTCTCCATGTTCTGGTAACTACCATTCTAATCTCTATTTCTATGAGTTTGGCTTTTTAAGATTCCACATATAAGCAAAATCATACAGCATTTATCTTTCTTTGTCTAGTTTATTTCACTTAGCACAATGCCTTCATAGTACATCCACGTTGTCTTTCTCAAGGCTGAATAATATTCCATTGCACATACATATACAACACATCTTCTTTATCCATTCATCCATTGACAGACACTTAGATTGTTTCCATATCTTGGCTACTATGAATAATGCTGTATAGATATCTC